TGGTCGTGTGACTCGACGTATAACTGTATGTGAGGGGGCGGTTGGTCGTGTGACTCAATGTGTAACTGTATGTGAGGGGGCGATTGGTCGTGTGACTCGATGTATAACTTTATGTGAGGGGGTGGTTGGTCCAGTGTCTCGATGTATAACTGTATGTGAGGGGGCGGTTGGTCGTGTGACTCGACGTATAACTGTATGTGAGGGGGCGGTTGGTCCTGTGACTCGACGTATAACTTTATGTGAGGGGGCGGTTGGTCGTGTGACTCAATGTATAACTGTATGTGAGGGGGCGGTTGGTCGTGTGACTCGATGTATAACTGTATGTGAGGGGGCTGTTGGTCCTGTGACTCAATGTATAACTGTATGTGAGGGGGCGGTTGGTCGTGTGTCTCGATGTATGACTGGATTGAGAAGGGGCGGTTGGTCCAGTGTCTCTAAGCATAACTGTATGTGAGGGGGGGGTTGGTCCAGTGTCTCAATGTATAACTGTATGTGAGGCAGCGGTTATTCCAGTGTCTCTAAGCATAACTGTATGTGAGGCAGCGGTTGGTCCAGTGTCTCGATGTATGACTGGATTGAGATGGGGCGGTTGGTCCCGTGTCTCTAAGCATAACTGTATGTGAGGGGGCGGTTGGTCCAGTGTCTCGATGTATAACTGTATGTGAAGGGGCGGTTGGTCGTGTGACTCGATGTATAACTGTATGTGAGTGGGCGGTTGGTCCAGTGTCTCGATGTATAACTTTATGTGAAGGGGCGGTTTGTCCAGTGTCTCGATGTATAACTGTATGTGAAGCGGCGGTTGGTCCGATGTCAAGTTTCAAGTTTATTTCGTGACAATCAGATTCATATGTATAAAGAACGCAATGACAATGCTTCCTTAATGTAAGAAGAACAATGTGTTAGTGTTGAAAACTTGGTACAAGATAATGTGTTCAGAAATTATTGTTGATCTGTGTAATTTGGTAATGCTTTAAAATATTTACAGCGCAAATCATGATACACTTTACATTCAAATAGGAAATGAAATTCATTTTCTACAAAATTATCATTACAAATATTACAAAGTCTTTGGTGCCTCGGAACTCCATCAAATCTACCAGTATTTTTATATAATTGGAAGTGCACCGATTCGTAACATTGTTATTCGACGCCTCGCATCTTTAGATTTCAATAAAGTTAAATATGGTTCAATGCAAACTACACTTTTGATACTGGAATAGACATCAAGCGATGAGCATTTGTGCATTTCTGAAAATATGAATTGCTTTTGACAATCACCAACTCTTACATGAAAATCTTTCAAAAACTGTTCCTGGTTGCCAACTCCTTGAGCTTCCCACACAAAACCAAAACCATAATTGAACAAAGTATTTCGGACAAAATATACCCACGTTTTCCTACGAACTCTGTCTAAATTGTACAACATAATATAACACTGCTTTGGATTTCTATCCTTTGGTAACCGTAAAAGTTTAAACCAATACTTCAAAACACGTAATAAACTATCAACATGAATATAATTTCTACCACATTCCGCCAAAACAGCAGCGTTAGAGCATTTATAACTTACGCCCAACCATACTTACAAAATCTAATATGAAACTGTTCCATAACATGCCATTTCCGAAAACTATGGTGTCCTATAATTGCCATCGCGTGGCGCGTAAAAAAAGAACTACGTCGTAGGCGACGTCGGCCTCGACGTCGTGGTCGACGTCGCCTTCGACGTCGATTTTGTATTTTTGTCGTAGATCATTCTTGTGTATTTCTGTACGACGACGTAGTCTTTTTTATGCGACGTCGTGGGCGACGTCGCCCACGACGTAGTTCTTTTTTTACGCGCCACGCGATGGCAATTATAGGACACCATAGAAAAACCCATATTTCCGAAGCGTACAAAATTATCGGCTTTATCTGGACGTCAAAGAATTTGAACAAAATAGTTGGAGAAATATTTTTAAGTCTCCTACCAAAAACCTTAACTGAGCACAAGGCGTTATTCGCTTTATTTACCAGATTTTGAACCGATTTAGACCATGAAAGTCTATTTGAAAACAATAAACCCAAATAATTATAATATGTAGAAACGTTTAACTTATGATCGCCAAAGTACCATGATTCATACCGCCTTAATTTACCCCCATTTCTAAAAACTAGCACCTCTGTTTTCTCAAAATTTACAGACAAGACCCATTTTTTACAAATGTAGTAATACGTTGATCTTCCTCTGAAGACTAATGGCAGAATTTGTAAACAAACATTAATCATCTGCATACAGTAGCAAATACAATTCCATAAACTCTGGGTCAATAAATACACCCCTGTCACCACAAGTAATCATTTCCGTATACAACTGGTTAACAAACAACGCAAATAGAAGAGGACTTAAAATACAACCTTGCCGAACCCCACTGAAAGAATCAAAATATTCCGAAACATTTAAATTTAGCTTAACACTAGCCTTTGTTAGATGTCACGATATATGTGAAGCGGCGGTTGGTCCAGTAAGTCGATGTACAACACATATCTTTTCGATTGCTTTGCCTGAAGCATGAAGATTACATAATCGGTAAAGTGATTTGGCTTTTACGAGATTAAATGTCGTTTTCATGTTCTAACAACGCATTCATCTAATAAATTAACTTCTTGAATGCCTGTTTACAACGTCAGGAATAAGAATTCAGGTCAACAAATATACATATTCAGCTGTAATCGTGTTCTACTATGTGATGCAAGTCATTTGTTGATTAAAAAACTTCCATGTGAAGACATTTGCTGATGTAAATAATTTCATGTGAGCATATTTCCCACATACGTTAATTGTGTGTGATCGTGTATGTTGAAGCTGTGTGTTTACCTTGCTGCAACTGATCCACATCGACCTCCCAGGCACTCTGTGCCAGCTCCTCATGTCTCGCTGAAGCTAGCAACAACAATTATGGGATTAAGGCTGAATAGCTTGGGATAGATTAGATCCTTGAAGTACCCCATTGGTCTGTTGAGACCTGGTTGTTCAACCATCAACATTCAGATGGAAATCTTGCCACTCCCACCAGTCCTAACCCAGTTTCGTAGATACGTCCATGCTTCTTTCATAACATATAGTCATATTTTGACCTCCGCGGTATAGTTTGTTAATCAGAATCAGCATCGAAATTTCAATGTAAGAACATTATGAAAATAATACGTTTTCCAGTGCCTGGGGATGTTTGTTGGGGTCACCTTGTAGGAACCTACCGCGGGGCACTTGGATGTTGAGTATAATAGTGTTTGATGGCAACGTTATCAATTTGATATGAACCAACACTACTGTGATGAACATCGAGTATTTCATGGCTTAGGAGAGCTCACGAGTTGACAATCTTTTTAGGATGTTTAAACAAAATGATCAACTACTGTATCCTACCAAGATATTTTTTTATTAAATAATATGCAAATATAAACATAAACTCGCCTATTCAACTTAGATTAAGTAACATACCAAAGGGTCAAACATCTAATGATTTGTTCCCCCGAACTTGTGAAGGATCAGAGGGTTGGCAGAGGTTTAAAGCAGTTCATGTTTAGACGGAACAAATATAGAATGGGTAAAAGCGACAAAACCTGGATTGTACAATCCCGATGATATTATGAGCATGTGATTGTTGGACACCACACTCAGGAACATTACAGCTGTATGACGGCAATCTGTACATAATTGAGTCTGAACCAGACGATCCGGTGATTGACATCACAAAATGCGATGACAGAGCAGCTGTTTATGAATCACTATGAAACGGTGATAATACCAGGTGTTTGCGAGAAGGTGAGAGTAGCCTACCCTACTGGTGGCACCCGTCATGAACATATGTGGAGGCTAGTCAATTGTTCACCTGAAAAAAACCTGATAGTATGGCATAAGTCAAAATAGGGAATTGTATAGGACATCAGTTTTGTCACTGATGCATCAAATCTTGAAGTTTCCTCCACATGTCTACCATAAAACTCTTACAAAGTTTTACTGAGTCCTTGAATGATGTAACCTTGAATATTGTAGCCTTGAACGATGTAACCTTGAATGTTGTAACCTTGAATGGTGTAACCTTAAATGATGTAACCTTGAATGGTGTAACCTTGAATGGTGTAACCTTGAATGGTGTAACCTTGAATGATGCAACCTTGAATGTTGTAACCTTGAAAGATGTAACCTTGAAAGATGTAACCTTGAATGGTGTAACCTTGAATGATATAACCTTGAATGGTGTAACCTTGAATGATGTAACCTTGAATGGTGTTACCTTGAATGGTGTAACCTTGAATGGTGTAACCTTGAATGGTGTAACCTTGAATGATGTAACCTTGAATGATGTAACCTTGATCGAACAACTGAGCAATAGTCGTTTGACGCTCTTTCAAATTTTGGTAAAAAGATCGATTGTACCTTAAAGTTTTTGTCACACAGCTTTTGGGGGAGTTTTTGGTCACTGAAATATTTATCTAAATAGAAAACACTTGTTTCCAGAATAGTATTGTAGAATCAATAACAGTTCATGTTGTTTCTTTACAGCCACTCATGGTTGTGTCATCAGGATGGTCGGAACATACAGTGTATTATATAACTTACTTTGAAGGTGACTGGATCTCAACAGAATTAATAGAAATAGTGTTATGATCACTTCTAACTTCTCATCAGTGAAGAACGTTTCACATCCACATCTGCACTGGGATGAAACTAATCTCTGTAGAATGTATATGGCTGTGTATCTACCTCGTATCTACCCCGTATCGATAAATCTGCGTGGAAAGTATGTTAATATGCAAGGAGACTCTCTTGGTGTAAGCAAAGTGTATGTAGACTCACAAATAACGTATGTTTGTTGTTGAATAGAGGTCTACAGCTACCGTGGATAAAACTTTCTCGTCTGAATGTGTGTAGATTTATACATTGAAGGTGCTGGTGAGCTAGGTGAGCTAGGTTAGCTATGGGAGCTAGGGGAGCTTGGTGAGCTAGGTGAGCTAGGCTAGCTAGGTGCGCTAGGGGAGCTAGGTGAGCTAGGTTTGCTAGGGGAGCTAGGGGAGCTAGGTGAACTAGGTGAGCTAGGTGAGCTAGGTGAGCTAGGTGACCTGGGTAAGCTTGGTGAGCTAGGGGAGCTAGGTGACCTGGGGGAGCTAGGGGAGCTAGGTGAGCTTGATGATTTAGGTGAGCTAGGTGAGCTAGGTTTATTAGGGGAGCTAGGGGAGCTAGGGGAGCTTGGTGAGCTAGGGGAGCTAGGTGAACTAGGTGAGCTAGGTGAGCTAGGGGACCTGGGGGAGCTTGGGGAGCTAGGTGAGCTGGGTGAGCTAGGAGAGCTAGGTAACCCGGGGGAGCTTGGTGAGCTAGGGGAGCTAGGTGAGCTAGGTTTGCTAGGGGAGCTAGGGGAGCTAGGGGAGCTAGGTGAGCTAGGTTTGCTAGGGGAGCTAGGGGAGCTAGGGGAGCTTGGTGAGCTAGGGGAGCTAGGTGAACTAGGTGAGCTAGGTGAGCTAGGTGACCTGGGGGAGCTTGGGGAGCTAGGTGAGCTTGGTGAGCTAGGAGAGCTAGGGGAGCTGGGGGAGCTTGGTGAGCTAGGTGAGCTAGGTGAGCTAGGTTTGCTAGGGGAGCTAGGGGAGCTAGGGGAGCTTGGGGAGCTAGGGGAGCTAGGTGAACTACGGGAGCTAGGTGAGCTAGGTGACCTGGGGGAGCTTGGGGAGCTAGGAGAGCCTTGGTGAGCTAGGAGAGCTAGGGGAGCTAGGTTAGTTAGGTTAGCTAGGTGAGCTAGGAGAGCTTGGTGAGCTTGGTGAGCTAGGTAAGCTAGGTGAGCTAGGAGAGCTTGGTGAGCTTGGTGAGCTAGGTGAGCTAGGAGAGCTTGGTGAGCTAGGAGAGCTAGGGGAGCTAGGTTAGTTAGGTGAGCCAGGAGAGCTTGTGAGCTAGGTGAGCTTGGTGAGCTAGGTGAGCTAGGTGAGCTAGGTGAGCTAGGGGAGCTAGGGGAGCTAGGTGACCTAGGTGAGCTGGGTGAGCTAGGGGAGCTAGGGGAGCTAGGGGAGCTAGGTGACCTAGATGAGCTAGGTGAGCTGGGTGAGCTAGGGGAGCTAGGTGACCTAGGTGAGCTAGGTGACCTAGGTGAGCTTGGTGAGCTAGGTGAGCTAGGTGAGCTAGGAGAGCTTGGTGAGCTAGGAGAGCTAGGGGAGCTAGGTTAGTTAGGTGAGCCAGGAGAGCTTGTGAGCTAGGTGAGCTTGGTGAGCTAGGTGATCTAGGTGAGCTAGGTGAGCTAGGGGAGCTAGGGGAGCTAGGGGACCTGGGTGAGCTGGGTGAGCTAGGGGAGCTAGGGGAGCCAGGGGAGCTAGGTGACCTAGATGAGCTAGGTGAGCTGGGTGAGCTAGGGGAGCTAGGTGACCTAGGTGAGCTAGGTGACCTAGGTGAGCTTGGTGAGCTAGGTGACCTAGGTGAGCTGGGTGAGCTGGGTGAGATAGATGAGCTAGGGGAGCTAGGGAAGCTAGGTTGAGGTATTCGTTCCTGATCACTGTATATTCTTCATCTATCCAAAGTTAAATGATAAGGGTATTGACAGGCGCTAAACTATCTTAATAGTATATAAAACGCAGAGATGGATGGTAAGTCATTTAACACATAGCGAAGTGTAATGTTGTCACTCCGCCTCCACCTCCTTCTACACTAGAAGGAGGGGATGGAGTGACTCAGGGATGTGTGTGTAGAGTAACACTAGTGTAGGATGGGGTTGGGTGACAATAGTGTAGTTGGGGTGGAGTGACTCTACACTAGTGTCACTCCAGCCCCTCCTACACTAGTGTCACTCCACCCCACCTACACTAGTGTCACTCCTCCCCAACTACCGTAGTGTCAATCCAACCCTCCTACACTAGTGTCACTCCACCCCACCTACACTAGGGTCACTCCTTCCCAACTACAGTATAGTGTTACTCCACCCCACCTACACTAGTGTCACTCCTCCCCAACTACCGTAGTGTCAATCCAACCCTCCTACACTAGTGTCACTCCACCCCGACTACACTAGTGTCACTCCTCCCCAACTACACTAGTGTCACTCCACCCTAACTACACTAGTGTCACTCCTCCCCAACTACACTAGTGTCACTCCACCCCAACTACACTAGTGTCACTCCTCCCCAACTACACTAGTGTCACTCCACCCTAACTACACTAGTGTCACTCCTCCCCAACTACACTAGTGTCACTCCTCCCTAACTACACTAGTGTCACTCCTCCCCAACTACACTAGTGTCACTCCTCCCCACCTACACTAGTGTCACTCCACCCCCATCTACACTAGTGTCACTCCTCCCCGACTACACTAGTGTCACTCCAACCCTCCTGCACTAGAGTCATCCCACCCCCACTACAATAGTGTCACTCCACCCCACCTACACTTGTGTTACCCCACCCCCTCTACACTAGAGTCACTCCACCCCGACTACACTAGTGTCACTCCACCCCACCTACACTAGAGTCACTCCACCCCATCTACACTAGTGTCACTCCACCCCGACTACACTAGTGTCACTCCACCCCAACTACACTAGAGTCACTCCACCCCGACTACACTAGTGTCACTCCACCCCGACTACACTAGAGTCACTCCACCCCGACTACACTATTGTCACTCCACCCCAACTACACTAGAGTCACTCCACCCCGACTACACTAGTGTCACTCCACCCCAACCACAGGTGTCACTCCACCCCAACTACACTAGTGTCCTCCTCCCCACCCACTCCTACACTAGAGTCACTCCACCCCGACTACACTAGTGTCACTCCACCCCACCTACACTAGTGTCACTCCACCCCAACTACACTAGTGTCACTCCACCCCAACTACACTAGTGTCACCCCAACCCTCCTACACTAGTGTCACTCCAACCCACCTACACTAGTGTCACTCCACCCCCACTACACTAGTGTCACTCCACCCCACCTACACTAGTGTCACTAGTGTCCCTCCCCACCTACACTAGTGTCACTCCTTCCCACCTCCCCAACTACAGTAGTGTCACACCCACCTATAGTAGTGTACTCCACCCCACCTACACTAGTGTCACTAGTGTCTCCTCTCCCCAACTACAGTAGTGTCACCCTCCTACACTAGTGTCACCCAACCCCACCTACACTCCCTTCCCAACTACAGGTATAGTGTCACTCCACCCCACCTACACTAGTGTCACTCCTCCCCACCTACACTAGTGTCACTCCTTCCCAACTACACTCCACCCCACCTAGTGTCACTCCACCCCACCTACACTAGTGTCACTCCTCCCCAACTACAGTAGTGTCACTCCAACCCTCCTACACTAGTGTCACTCCAACCCACCTCCTACACTAGTGTCACTCCAACCCACCTACACTAGTGTCACACTCCTCCCCAACTACAGTATAGTGTTACTCCACCCTAAGTGTCTACACTAGTACAGTAGTCACTCCTCCCCAACTGTCACTACAGTAGTGTCACTCCTCCCCAACTACAGTAGTGTCACTCCACCCCTCCTACACTAGAGTCACTCCACCCCACCTACACTAGTGTCACTCCTCCCCAACTACACAGTGTCTAGTGTTAGTGTCCAACCCCTCCTACACTAGAGTCACTCCTCCACTCCATCTCCTCTACACTAGTGTCACTCCACCCTCTCCTACACTAGTGTCACCCCACCCCCTCCCACTCTAGTGTCACTCCACCCCTACCATCACCTTCCTATACAATCGTCACCCTGTAGTTGTACTCAACCCTACACACATACACACCCCATCGCTCTCATAGCCGCTGTGGGAGTCTGGCACATCCAGCCTACATTTGACCTAATTCACGTTGTGACGCATTTCCCTAGATAACAGTAATTGTATTATGTGTCCTCATTCTCAGCTGTTTAAAGTGACTGTAATGTGAAAACTGCAGTCATTCTCATAAGACCCAAGTACAGGACTTTGGCACATGAGATCCACGCAATGCCAGCTGGGCCACACAGCCTGGACGTACGTCAAACATCTAACTGAACCACGTAGTGCGTACGCGCCATTCAGCATGCTCATTATCAACATATATCCCGCAACACTGGGATTACATGCCTAGATATCACGGTAGTAGCTGGCAGATCATGCTCCAAGCTTCAAGTAATCTTCTCTCTTATCGCTTGATATCTCACAGAAAACCTGTCTTAAAAGAGGAGAGATAACTCGTATTTTTGGCTGCTAACATGAAAAGATATGACTTATCACAGCTTTGATTCTGAAACTATTGTCAGTGGTTGTCTTCCTGTATGCTTGCAGCTGGATGTGTGGAGTGAGATTCACTGACCAAATAGAAAGTTCACTTGGCCGGGGGTGGGATGACTGGGTGGGGGTGCATTTAATAGTGTAGTGGGTGGACTGAGAGCACGTGGACATGATGATGTAGTGGGCGGAATGATAGTAAGTGGATATGATGATGTAGTGGGTGGACTGATGGCATGTGGATATGATGGTTTAGTAGGCGGAATGATAGCATGTGGACATGATGGTGTAGTGGGCGAAATGATAGCAAGTGGATATGATGATGTAGTGGGTGGACTGATAGCATGTGGATATGATGGTTTAGTAGGCGGAATGATAGCATGTGGAATGATAGAAATGATCGTGTGATATGATGATGGTAGGGTGGAATGATAGCATGTGGATATGATGGTGTAGTGGGTGGAATGATAGCATGTGGATATGATGGTGTAGTGGGTGGAATGATAGCATGTGGATATGATGGTGTAGTGGGTGGAATGATAGCATGTGGATGATGATTATGTATTGGGTGGAATGATAGCATGTGGGATGATGATGTGTAGTGGGTGGAATGATAGCATGTAGGGTGGATGATAGCATGTGGATGATGATGTAGTGGGTGGAATGGCAGCATGTGGAATGATGGTGTAGTGGGTGGAATATGTGGAGATGATGGTGTAGTGGGTGGAATGATAGCATGTGGATGTATGATGATGTAGTGGGTGGAATGATAGCATGTGGATATGATGATGTGTAGTGGGTGGAATGATAGCATGTGGATATGATGGTGTAATACGTGGTGGTGGAATGATAGCATGTGGATATGATGATGTTGGAGGAATAAGATATGATGATGTAGGTGGAATGATAGCATGTGGATATGATGATGTAGTGGGTGGAATGATAGCATGTGGATATATGATGATGTAGTGGGTGGAATGATAGCATGTGGATGTGATGTATGATGAATAGTGGGTGGAATGATGATGATGGGTGGAATGATATGTGGATGGATGATGATGATGTAGATGGTGGTGGAATGATAGCATGTGGATATGATGATGTAGTGGGTGGAATGATAGCATGTGGATATGATGATGAATTCGGTGGAATGATAGCATGTGGATATGATGATGTAGTGGGTGGAATGATATGATAGCATGTGGATATGATGATGTGTAGTGGGTGGAATGATAGCATGTGGATATGATGATGTAGTTGGTGGAATGATAGCATGTGGATATGATGATGTAGTATAGGTGGAATGATAGCATGTGGATATGATGATGTAATGGTGGATGGAATGATAGCATGTTGATATGATGATGTAGTTGGTGGAATGATAGCATGTGGATATGATGATGTTGTTGGTGGAATGATAGCACGTGGATATGATGATGTAGTGGGTGGAATGATAGCATGTGGATATGATGGATGTAGTGGGTGGAATGATAGCATGTGGATATGATGGTGTAGTGGGTGGAATGATAGCATGTGGATAGTGATGGTGTAGTGGGTGGAATGATAGCATGTGGATATGATGATGTAGTGGGTGGAATGATAGCATGTGGATATGATGATGTAGTTGGTGGAATGATAGCATGTGGATATGATGATGTAGTGGGTGGAATGATAGCACGTGGATATGATGATGTAGTGGGTGGAATGATAGCATGTGGATATGATGGTGTAGTGGGTGGAATGATAGCATGTGGATATGATGATGTAGTGGGTGGAATGATAGCATGTGGATATGATGATGTAGTTGGTGGAATGATAGCATGTGGATATATGATGATGTAGTTGGTGGAATGATAGCATGTGGATATAATGATGTAGTGGGTGGAATGATAGCATGTGGATATGATGATGTAGTTGGTGGAAGCATAGCATGTGGATATGATGATGTAGTTGGTGGAATGATAGCATGTGGATATGATGATGTAGATGGTGGAATGATAGCATGTGGATATGATGGTGTAGTGGGTGGAATGATAGCATGTGGATATGATGACGTAGTGGTTGGAATGATAGCATGTTGATATGATGATATAGTGGGTGGAAGGATAGAATGTTGATATGATGATGTAATGGGTGGAATAACAGCATGTGTATGTAATGACGTAGTGGGTGGAATGATAGCATGTGGATATGATGATGTAGTTGGTGGAATGATAGC